TTGAGGAAGTCCCCATGGAGTGGGTGATGTCAGTGCATGATGACATCACATACAAGAACACAGAGACCCTGAGTCTATATAAACCAGCGATCACCACACATTGTAAATGGATGGGAAAGTCCATGAAAGGGGACAAAGGAGATCCACCAGAACAGTTCAAGAAATGAGCAAGTTTGATTCAGAGAAATTGGGTTTGCCCCACGGGAGCAAAGGAGATTGGGGAGAGATTTGACAGACCTTTATGGTAGGTTTAGATAATATAGATCAATAAAAGCTGCTCCCATTAGGCACTCAGTTAGTTTAAAAGATTATAGAACACAGATTTAAGATTTTGGGCTGATCTGCACCTGTGCACTGCTCTTCTGTTCCAAGGGTAGGGGACTTTCCATCCCATGGGGATTCCTGGGTATTGTAACCACCATTGAAAGTACAAATTACTGTACAAGGACTGATTTGTGCATTTTGGAGTATCAAATGGAACTTGAAAACCCACATAGGAAAGATGTTGTTAAACCTGAAAGATTTACATGGATGTGGCCGGGATTGGAGGGTTTGAGCTGAATAGGCTGGAGCTATTTTCCCTAGAACATCGGAGGCTGAGGGGTGACCTTATAGAGCTTTGTAAAATCATGAGAGACATGGAAAGGGTGAATAGCCCAAGGTCTTTTTCCCAGGGTAGGGGAGCCCAAACCTAGAAGGCATAGGTTTAAGATGAAAGGGGAAAGATTTAAAAGGAAAAGAAGGGGCAGCCTTTTCACGCGGAGTGTGATGCATGTATGAAATGAGCTTCTGCAGGAAGTAGTGGAGATGGGTACAATTACAACATTTAAAAGGCATCTGGATGGGTACATGAATAGGAAAGGTTTAGAGGGATATGGGCCAAATGCCAGCAAATGGGACTAGATTAGGTTAGGATATCAGGTTGGCATAGATGAGTTGGACTTATGGGCCCAATTCCATGCTGTCCAACTCTATGACTGTATGACTCTTTAATGATGTCAGTAAATAAATTAGACCGACACTCATCTGGACCAGAGACTGATGTGACAATGTGATACACACTGTCTTGTTTTGTGAAGAGTCACAGAATTCATACAGCACAGAAACAGTCCCTTCAGTCCATTATGTTTGTGCCAGCTCCCAAAATCAACATCTCATTCAGGGACATTCTCTTGCCTCTCCCCACCACCCTGTACATTATTGCTTTTCAAATAACCATATATTGGCCCTTGACATGTTTACACCAAATCCTCAGTCAGTTCATTCCAGGTACAAACCAGTCGCCACTTAAAATGTTCTCCCCCTTCACTTTTGTTTCTTTTACAAATTACGTAAATTTTTGACCTCTCGTTCTCAATCATCTCATGAGTAGGGACATTTTCGCCCTATTGATTCTGTTCGGATCTCTCATGATTTTGAATTGGATCTACACTTGGCTTCCTTTCCGCCACAAGAAAGGGTCTTAACTTCTCCAACCTATTTTCAAAACAGAAATTCTTCATTGCTGAGCCCATTCACATAAACCTTTTCTGTACTTTCACTAATCCCTTCACATCCATCCTAAGGTGTGGTGCCCAGGACTCCACACAGAACTCCAGCTGACAGCAAACATGTGTCTTCAATACGACCTCCTTGCTCTTGCCACTAATAACAACATTAGGATATTATACGTCTTATAAGCTCCGCTCTCAACTTCTCTTTCTACATTTAAATACACATGTACAAATATACTCAGGTAACTAGTCCTTTAAAGTTATACCCTTTATCTTATGTTGTTTCTGCATGTTCATCCCACCAAAATTTATGACCTGAAACTTCTCCACATTGAACATCATCGGCTTCTGATCCACTCACCCTACCAACTTAGAAATGTTGTTTTGAAGTTCTGCATTATCCTCACAACTTACTTTGATTACAAATTCCATATAAATCTACACATTTTGAAATTGGCTATGTATGCCAATGTTTAGATCATTTATATATATATATATATATATATATATGTTATGAAAAACAAGGTTCCAAACAATGATACCAAGGGAAATTCATTAGATTCCAATCAGAAAAGTATCCATGAAACAGTACTGTTTCCTTTCTCTCAGCCAATTTTGCACCCATTTATTCTTTCCCCCAATGAATTTAAACTTAGCTCACATGTCTGTTGTGGGTCACAAGCCTTCTGGAAGTCTTGGTCCAGCATTAACAACAATCCTCTGCTCAACTGCTTCATAGAATCAATAGAATCCCTACACAGTGCAGAAGCAGGCCATCCAGCCCATCAAGCCCACACTGGCACCCCCCTCCGAAGAGCATCCCACCCAGATCCACTTCATCCCTGCATTTCCCACCCTAGACACGATGGGCAACGTAGCATGGCCAATCCACCTAACCTGCACATCTTTGAAGCACCCGGAGGAAACCCATGCAGACATGGGGAGAACGTGCAAATTCCACAAAACAGACACCCGAGGCTGGAATCGAACCCGGGTCCCTGGCGCTGTGAGGCAGCAGTGCTAACCACTTGCTCTTATTGAAGCCAGGAGAGAAGTACAATGAATGGCCCATACACTTTGAATGCATGGATATCTAGCAAGCAATCATTCTGTATCTTGGTCTCACGCCTTCAATGATTCTTAACAAGGAAGGAAAAGGATGTAATGTTTTATTCAGCGATATGGCATCCCCAGTGGGGCAGAAGATACCCTATACAGTGCCCAGATCATTGTGCGCATGCCCTGTAGGGTGCTGGTGAGGCATGCACAGTACCAAGACCCACATGGCATCCCAGGGAAGGCTGAGTTGCAGTGACTGAGGGAGTGGCTGGGGTGTTCTGTCTGTGGGAGAAGATGTACTGTAACAGTGTGACTTCACTGAAATACACAAACCCTGGTCAGAGCATATCTGGAGAACTCTGTTATGTTCTGAGCCACAAACCTTAGGAATGATTTGATGCCCTTGGTGTGAGTATCGCACAAATTTTGAGTGTAAACTGAATTCCAATGTTTAGGTGACAAGACAAGATCACACAAGAGTCCAATGCAACAAAGGGGAGCTATTCAACCCATTGAGTCCAGGTTAGCTCTCTACAGCAATCCAGTCACACCCATCCCCTTGTGTTCTCCCTGTATGCTTGCATTATATTTTTCTCAAGTGCTGGTTAAGTTTCATTTTGAAATCAATCATGTTCACTTTCACTCCCCTCAGAGTTCTGGGGCATCACCATTTGCTGTGGAAAAATGTTCTCATCGTATCCCCATCTGTCTCTTACTCAGAATCTTTAATCTGTCCTTAGTCTGTGTACAGTCAACTAATGGGAAATGATTGTCTTTCCTCAACTTTAATCAGTTTGTCAATCTTGTACGTCTATTAAATCACCTGCCACTCTCCTTTACTGAATCCATTCTGATAAATTTTCTCTGCATGCCCTAAAGGACCCTCACTTTTTTTTAAAATTGTGACCAGAATTAGACACAACACTCGAATTGTGGCCGAATGAGAGCTTTAGAAGTGTTCAATGTTACTTGCCTCCTTTTAATCTCAATGCTAATATTTATGAAGCTTGAGCTCCAATTTGCCTTGCTGATGAATGAATATATTTTGCTACCTTCAAAGATTTGCATGCATGAAACACGAATTCCTCAGTACCTGCACTCTCTTTAAAATTGTCCTATTCATTATATATTGCCTCTTCCTACCCCTTCTGCTAAAATACATCACCTCACTATGAGCCAGGTATTCAGTGGAATTCAAAGTGTGATTTTGATCAAAGTTTTCCCAGATACAATTGGTGACTGATAGGGGAGTTAGGCAGATGTTTTCCACTGGGTGGAGAATCAAGGACAAGCAGGCGTAGTCTCAACATAGTGTCAGGTTACAGCACCTTTTCCAGGCAAGTGTTTGAGATTGTGACATCTCTCTTTTGGTGCAGAAACTGCTGAACTCCGTAATGAGGTTGGAAAGTGACAAACTGAAGGATGAGCTTGACCTCCCATTGAGTTTCATTGACTCAGTGCGTGAGGCTGAGAACAAAATGGGAGTAGGGCAGAAAAATAAAATGGCAAATGACTAGAAGCTCAGGGTCCAGCTCGCAGACTGAATGCATGTTGTTCTGTGGTGTAATCACACTGTTCCTAGAGTGGAGCAGATCGCATCGTGAGCGGTGAGCTAGTAATTACAATGCGGAAAGTACAAACAAATCATTTTAAAGCTGAAAATAAACACTTTTTCAGGTCAGACTGAAGAAAGGTGCTTCACCTGCAGTCTCAATTATTAAATGCAGAAAACTGATTGCCAAAATACTAAATCCTATCCCAGCTGTAGGCTAAAATAAATCCCAATGTCAAACTGAACATGGTTCATGTGATTAACAACAAAATTCAATTTCTGATCTCACTGGGTCAAACGGCTAGTCATGTTCTCACATTTCTATATTTCAATATATTTCTCAGCAAATTGAACAATAGATTGAATGCCTTCTGGCATAAGGAGCAGGTGAATAATCTCTCTCCAGCCTGAACCTGCTGCAGAGAATCCTGAAAGTGGTGGTTTTCCAGTGCAGCAGATGCTCTTGTCCTTCGAGTTGGTGAGTTTGGGAGGTTCTGTCAACATTCTGGTCAAATTGCAGAGAGATGAAGCCTGTATCCTTTCCCACTCCTCCACCTTTCTTTGTTCTCCTACAGAGGCCTGAGTATTGTCCATACTGAGTGGCAGATTCCCATTCCTGAAGGACACTACTGAACCAGTTGAGTTTTTACAAAAGTCCAGCAGCTTTTGTGGTCACATTGTCCTCTACCCAGCCCCACAAGTTAATGGATTTATTCAGCTCATTATCAATCCTGCCTTGTTTTTGTGAGTTCTCACTCACATTTCCTTGTTTCTGTTTTAAATTCAGTTCACAGGTAATGACGGTGAACATTTGTAGTTTAGAAACTCCAACGAAAGGTCAATTCACATTCTGACAGAGATATTCAATTTATCCTGAATGTCATCAGGCTTTGATCATGGAAGTCAAAATTGGCATTCACACTGAGAAACCATGGAAATGCAGGGACTGTGGGAAGGAATTCAAATATCCATCTCACCTGGAAACTCATCGGCACAGTCACAGTGGGGAGAGGCCGTTCACCTGTCCAGAGTGTGGAAAAGGGATTTACTTGCTCAACCTATCTGCTGACACATCAGCAAATCTACACTCGGCAGCAACCATTCACCTGTCCCAACTGTGGGAAGGGATTTACTCAGTCATCTGCACTGGTGACACACCAGCAAGTTCACACTGGGGAGAAACCTTTTAAACATTCAGACTGTGGGAAGTGCTTTAAAAGTTCCTGAGAAGTGATATCCCATCAGCGTGTTCACACAGATGAGAGACCATTCAGATGCTCTCACCGTGGGATTGGATTCAAACGATCAACTAACCTCACCGACCACCAGCGAATTCACACTGGGGAGAGGCTGTTAACCTGCTCCGAGTGTAGGAAGGGATTCAGTCTGATTTTCCACCTCCTGGCACACCAGCGCGTTCACACCGATGAGAGACCTTTCAAATGTTCAGATTGTGGGAAACGCTTTAAAAGTTCAAGAGAACTGATGTCCCACCAACATGTTCACACTGACGAGCAACCATTCAGATGCTCGCAATGCGAGACTGGGTTCAGACGTGTGGCTGACCTCACTGTACACCAGCGAATACACACAGGGGAGAGACCATTCACTTGCTCCAAGTGTGGAAAGGGATTCACACAATTATCCAACATGGTAACGCACCAACAAGTTCACATGTAACAACAGCAATTGGATTTTGCTGCTGATACTATTCCATCGGTATCTGTTTCTGCTGGCGTTAATAAACTGCACTTAAGGTATGTGTTTCAGTTTTCTGGATAAACATCAAATAATTAGCCTTGGATCAAACATAAAATGTGATTTTTTTTTTTAAAATACCTGTAACATAGGTACATGGTGGTTAAACGGTTCTCCCTCTCCCCTGCCTCCTCCATCCTGACCTCCAGCAGCCCCCGTGAGGAGCTCATGGAGCTTCTTTGTCATTGAGATTGAGACAGTGTGATCAGCTGCTTCTGCTGTGTCCCTCCCTTCCATGGGCCCACCAGACCAAACACCCTCGCAATTTTCTCCTTGCATTAGTCTGGAACTTGCATCTTACTCCAGTTTTCTCTTGTCAGGTCCTACCAGAGCTCACCGTGACCAATTCTCACTAAACCGTGGACCATCTAACTCTTCTGTGTTAATTGATATCATTAATGGCTTTCTTTCTCATTTTCCTGGTTCTCTTTCTCTCCTTTAAATCCATCATAATCACACAACCTAAGAGAAAGTAAACTTTGACTCCACCATCCTTACAAACCCTTGCCCTATCTCCATCGTCCCTTTCTTTTCTAAACAGGACATTGGTTAGGCCAGTTTTTTTGCAATACTGAATTCAGTTCTGGTCTCCCTGCCATAGGGGAGATGCTGTTAAACTTGAAAGAGTGCAGAAAAGACTGACAAGCATGTTGCTGGGATTGGAGGGTTTGAGCTATAGACAGAGGCTCAATAGGCTAGGCGTGTTTTCCCTGGAGCATCAGATGCTAACGGGTGACCTTATAGAGGTTTATAAAATCATGAAGGGCACTGATCAGATAAATAGAAAAGGCTCTTTTCCCTGGGGTGGGGAAGTCCAAAACTAGAGGCACAGATTTAAGATGAGAGGGGAAAGATTTAAAAGGGACCTAAGGGGCAACTTTTTCACACAGAGGGCAGTGCTTGTATGAAATGAGCTGCAACAGGAAGCAGTGGAAGCTACAATTATAACATTTAAAAGGCATCTGGATGGATACATGTATAGGACGTTTAGAGGGGCATGGGTCAAATGCTGCTAAATGGGACTAGATTCATTTAGGATATCTGTTCGGCACGGATGATTTGGACCGAAGGGTCTATTTCCATGCTGTACAACTCTGTGTCTCTCTCTCAATTAAAGACACTTGTTGAAAATGCTCTCTTCAGGTGAGCATCTTTCCTAATGTCACTTTCTCTGACTCGGTGTCACATGTTTCTTCACGAAACTACTCCAAATCATCTTGGGAAATTTTATTGCAGTTTTGTTATGCATAAAATTTTGAGAGGCATAGACAGGATTGATGAGAAGAAGCTTCTCCCTCTTGTGGAGGAATCAATGACCATGGGCATATAATTAAGTTAAGGAACAAAAGGTTTAGAGGAGATGTGAGGAACTTTTTTTTTGAACCAGAGGGCAGTGGGAATATTGAACTCACTGTCTTGTAAGGGTGGTAGAGGCAGTAACCCTCAGAACACATAAGTAGTATTTAAATGCACACTTAGCATTGCACACATTGACATTGCATGTGCCAAGTGCAGGAAAAATTGGATTACCATAGCTAGGTAATTGTTTCTCCAACTGGTACAGACTTAATTGGCTGCCTCAGTGTCACTGCTCCAATGTCTTTCCAGTTTATATGGACATCTAAACCATTTCCCACAGTCACCACATTTCTGCAGTTTCTCCCCATTTATGACATGGTTTGTGTCTGGAATGACCAGATGATCGGCTGAAATCTCATCCACACTCAATGGCTGTGGTTTCACCCCACTGTGAACAGTGATGTTTCCTTCAATGTTCAAAATCTGATGAAATTTGTGCTGTGATAAATTGGACAACTCTGTGTGCTGCCCATCTCAGAGAGACACCAATTAATACATAGGCGAAGATACAGGGGAGACATTTAGAGCTCTATCAAACCACAATTCATTTATTAAATACTTAAACAAATAACATACCCTCGTAACTACTAGAGATATCTCAATCACTGTCTTTCACATCCCTGATTTCTGTAACTAAGCCCAAACATTATAACCCGAGAGAGTCTGCAGCTCGGCAGGCCAAAACTTTTCTTTCAGAAAAACTTCTTTCGCAACATTAATCTTTGAAGTGTTGCTGAACAAAGGGATTTCTTCAGGCTCTTTATACACAAGTCTCTCTGCCAAGAACGCGCCTTCTTTGGAATTATGCATGCACGTGACCAATCCTGAATGTTTTGTCCAAATGTATGCCTTATCTAATAGGACCAGTAATTTCTGGTTTCCTGCAGTTTTAACTCTTAGCAGACCTGACTGACTCAGCATAATTCCATTCACAAAACAGCCCATTGTTGGTCCTCTTATCAGTTCCCGTCAGTTCCTGTAATCTTCAGCCTTATCCAACAGGTCTGATCCTGTTGTGATGTTTTGTTCCAGTTTCCCAAATGCAAACCTTCGCTATCAATGCCCTATTTAATTGAGTGAAAACAGCAAAGAGTGAGTGAGAGAGGCATAAAAATGCAAAGGTAGATTGTGAAATTGGGCTGATTGAATTGTTCATTTGTGGGGGTCCAATGGGGAAAAGAATAGCAGGCCGCAGACAGCAAGTTTTGCTTCTTTGCCTTTCTTTTTGTATCATCACTCTGCCTCATTAATAAGACATTAGGTGTGAAAGATGAATGCAGCCTGAAGGACAAGTTTTCTCCATTCTGAACAATGGCTGCAGGCTCCTCCCAGTCCTTCTAAACATTGCCCCCTATAAAGATGGTGGCCACACATGCAAAATTTTGCCCTGTGCCCCCAGTAAAGATGGTGGCCATTCCCTAGGCCCTGTCATGAAACCTAGTGCCGTCTCCCCATTTAGTGCAAGCAGAGGACTGACCGGGGTTTGCGGGTGAAAGGAAATATTTCGAAAGCCAGCCTGCCGATCCACTGTCCGGTCCATTGCTTACTCCATTCCCCCTCATTCTCAGACTTTATGGATTCAAAAGACACAAAACTGAGCATCAGCAGCCTGGCAAAGGATTATGACTACGCATGCGCTCCACAGGAACTACGCATTTTGAAACTCACAAAACAGATGAATGAAATAGATTTATCGTCACGTGCTTACATAAGTGCAGTGAAAAGTTTACAAGTCACCACTTAGACAGCCGTATTAGCTACCAAGGTACCTAGGTACAGATTCTTCAGTAAAAATTCCCGGGGGGAAAGAAAACTAAAAGTCCAGCATTACAGATCTTCAAAAGTACAAAATCATAGTCATAAATTTGAAAAATAAAGAAATAAAAACTTCAGAAGAGTCTCCCACCATAATTTAAGAAAAAACAAGTAGCCATGCTGATTGATCACGGATCCAGGTCAATAGGAAGAGGGGAATGGGACTAGATGACCACATGGTAATGGCTGGTCCTCAAGCAATAAAAGTTAATGAGAGGCAGGGCTGAGGTACAGTGTGGGTGTGACTGGTCTTCTAAACAAGGGGAGCAAATGAGTGGCAGGCCCAATCACTCCTTTACTTTCTCTGCCCTGAGGAGAATGACCTCACCTTTTTTGTTCCCCAGTGGGATGTGGGTTGGACCAGCATTTTATTGCCCATCCCTACTTGCCCTTGAGAACATGGCGGTGAGCTGCTTTCTTGACCAGCTGCAGTCCATGTTCTGTAAGTAGATTCAGAATGTCCTTAAGGAGGGAATTCCAGGATTTTGACCCAGTCACACCGAAGGAATGGTAACACATTTCCAATTCAGGATGCCGAGTGGTTCAGGTGGTTGTGTTTTCATACATCTACCAGCCTTGTCCTTCTAGATGGAAGTGCTCAGGGTTTGGAAGGTGTGTCTCAGGACTTATGGCAAATTTCTGCAGTGCATCATGTAGATAGTATTTACTATTGCTACTCAGTATCAGTGGTGAGGAGTCCAGATGCGAGTTACTCCCTGCAGTATCCCTTCTCATACTCTAAGAATAGCTTCTCCAGTTCCTCTACTGAACTGAAAGACTCATCGCTGATACTATTCTGAGAAACTGACCCCGCACTCTCTCCAAGAACTTGACGTATTCTGGTCCTCAGAATTGAGCACAATATTGCAGCTGAGGATTAAGCAATGATTTATGAAGATTTAGGAAACCTTAACTAAGAATCATTAAGCTTGAGCAACTTAACATTTCACATTCTAAGATTAGTGGCAATACACTCATAGGTACTCTGTTTAAAGTTGTATCATTTAGTTTATTCTGCCCCTCCTCATTCCTCCTTACAAAATTCATCGTACACTGTGAATCACTTTGCGATGTTCTGAGTATGCAAAAGAGGCAAAATGAAGATGACTTTCTTTCCGCTTTACAGCAGATTTAAAGTTGTAAACTTTGCTCCAAAGATTGCATTGGAATTGAGATTCATAGTGACCTGTTTTATGCAGAATCAACTTCAGCAGGAAGTCAGTGGAATGAAGAGGAAAGTTCCCATACAGCAGTTCTTCAAGGTTCAGTAGAGGTCTGACAGGTCAATCAGTTCCATTCTCAGCACAGATCACAATTCTCAACACTGTCCACAAGAGTTTACCTGGTGCAGTGGGACCACTACTTGTGCCTTAAACAACCCACCTCCCAAAAAAAAAAATGCATTAATCTGGGTAATCCCACCAATTGCTACTTATGAATTTTACTCTGCACAAACTGATGACATGAAACAGTATCAAGCTTGCTTTCTAACATGCTTAAAGTAATAAAATGTGTCAATATTTTTAAAGGAATTTCTTCAAGAAACAGTTGAAGTAAAGACTGACATTAGGAATGATGTTTAATAGAGTCATAGAGATTGACATCATATGCAGAAGCCCTTTGGCCCATTGTCCTCATGCCAATAATCAGTTCTAATCCCATTTTCCACCACTGGACCTGTAGCCTTGTATGTTGTAGTGTTTCAAATGTGGATCTAAATAATTCCTAAATTTCCAGAGACTTCCAGCTTCTTTTAGGCAGCAGGTTCCCATTGTCTCAATGAAAAAATTCCTCCAATCCAGTCCACAACTCCTGCATTTAACTTAAAACTGTGCCACCTCAACAGTGACCCCTTTACTAAAGTTAAAGTTTCTTCATATCTACCCTAGCTATGGCCCCTCCTATCTTTGTACATCTCAATCAGGTACCCTCTCAGCCTTCTCTGCTCTAGGGAAAACAACCCTAGCCTGTCAGTTTCTCTTCATAGTTGATTTGCTGCAGTCCAAGCAGCATCCTAGTAAGTGGGAGATCCCGTGTGGAACAAGCATCTCTTACCAGGTGAGATGGGGAGATGTTTATGGAGGTAATTTCAGAGCTTCACACCCAGGCAACGACACCAATGGTGGAATAATTAAAATCAGGGAGAACAGAATGAGAAAGGAGCAGTATTCCAAACGGTTGTGTGACTGGGGAATACAAAGATAGAGAGAAACAAGGTTGCTTGGAATCTACACTGTCAAACTCCTCCCAATTTTTGTACATCTTAGTCTTTCTAAATTTCAGGCCTGATTCACTCAGGAATCATTGGACAGCCCCCTCTTTGCAGGGACCAGTTTAGAGAAACAACGACATTTCATTTCCCTTCCTATTCACTTGCTGTGCGTGCTGTGATGAATGAATCAGGACAGCCAGACCTCTCGCTGCCTCATTGTTCTGCAATTTTTTTTTAAGAATCCCTATAGTGTAGAAACAGGCCCTTTGACCCAACAAGTCCACACCAACCCATCCGCATATTCTTCCTAATCTACACACTCCCTGAACACTATGGGCAATTTAGCAATGCCAATCCACCTAGCCTGCACACCGTTGGACTGTGGGAGGAAACCCACGCAGACACGGGGAGAACGTGCAAACTCCACACAAACAGTCGCCCAAAGGTGGAATCGAACCTGGGGTTCCTGGCACTGTGAGGCAGCAGTGCTAACCACTGAGCCACCATGCCGCCCCTAATCTCTAACTGAAACATGCCTCATTTCTAGTCTTCCTGCCAAATTGCACAAGTCCATATTTTCTTACATTTCATTCCTTCTGTCATTTTCTTGCCCACTCACTTATCCTAAACGCCTCCTATCTTTTTACAACTTCATTTCCTGCCTACTTTTAAATCAACAACAAATGTAGTGATGATATAGTCAGTCTCGTCACTGGAGTCATTGATATGAATTAAGAAAATTGAGGTCCCAACACTGATCCCTGTGGCACTTCACTAATTATAGCTCACCGGCCCGAAAATCATCCAGCAATCTCCACTTTCTGCTACCTGTTATCTAACCAATCCGGTATTCATATTAATATCATTCTCTTCACGAGAAGCTTTTCGTGTCGTCACTTATTAAAATGTCACTTAGAAATCTCACATCACATCTGCAGGGTGCGTTTTATCCACATTGATTCCTCAAAGAACACTAATAAACTTGTCAAATGCTATTTTCCGTCACAGAACGACACTGACTCTGCAGACTGCATTTCGTTCTTCTAAGTGTCATTCTATAACCTCCTGAATAGATTCTAACAACCTCTCTGTGATCGAAATCAGGCTCAGAAGCCTGTTAATTTCTGCTTCCTGTATCTTTTGTTTCTTGAACAGAGGAATTATATTTGTGATTTTCTAATTTGAAGGGATCTTTACAGAATTGTGAATATTTTGGAAAATTAGAACTAGAGCATGCGGTATCTCCACAGCCATTGCTTCTCAGACTCCAAGATGCAGGCCATCAAATTCTGGATACTTGTCAATCTTTAGTTCTAATCACTGTCTCTGTATCCTTTCCTTGATGACTGTGATTCTTTCAAGTTTCTCTCTCCCTTCCATGCCTCAATTTAGAACATAGATTACAGAACTTCACAGCACAGGATCAGGCCCTTCGGCCCATGACGTTGTGCCGAACATGAAGCCCATTGCCTGCCCTTGCTCCGTATCCCTCCAATTCTTGCATATTCATGTGCTTCTCTAAAAGTCTCTTAAATGCCCCTGCCTTATGTGCCTCAGCCATCACCCCAGCAGCGCATTCCAAACTCCTACCACTCTGTGTGTAAAAACATACCTCTCACGTCCTCTTTGAACTTTCCCCCGTAACCTTAAATGCATGCCCCCTTGTTTTAGACATTTCAATGCTGGGAGAAAGATTCTGACTATCAACCCTATTTATGTATCTCATAATTTTACAGACTTCTTTCAAGCCTCCCCTGCTCAAGAGAAAACAACCAGAGTTGTTCTAGCTTCTCCTTATAGCTCATACCCCCTATTCCAGGCAACATCCTGGTAAACTTCTTCTGCACCCTCTCCAAAGCCTCCACATCCTTCCTGTAATGTGGCAACCAGAATTGAACGCAATACTCGAAGTGTGGCCTAACCAAAGTCTTGTAAAGTTGCAACATGACATCCTGACTCTTGTATTCAATTCCCCAACCATAAAGGCAAGCATGCCATACGTCTTCTTTACCACTCTATCTACTTGCATGGCTACTTTCAGGGAACTATGGACTTGAACCCCAAGATGCTTCTGTACATCAGTGCTGTTCAGGGTCCTGCCATTAACTGTTTACTTTTATTTAACATTTGATCTCTCAAAGCGATCTACCTCATACTTATCGTGATTAAACTCCATCTACCATTTTTCGATCTATATCTGGAACTGATCTATATCTCTCCGTATCCTTTGACGATCTTCTACACTATCCACAACTCCACCAATCTTTGTATCATCTGCAAACTTACTAACCGACCTGTGTACATTTTCATCTAAGTCACATATATATCACAAACAGCAGAGGTCCCAGTACGGATCCCTGCAGAACACCACTCGTCACGGACCTCCAGCCTGAAACACACCCTTCCACCACTACCCTCCGTCTTTTATAGGCAAACCAATTCTGAATCCACGTGACCACATCACCATGGATCCCACACATCTTAATCTTTTGGATGAGCCTACCATGAGGGACCTCCTCAAAAAATTCAATCAAGTTGGTAAGACATGGCCTGCCCTGCACAAAACCATGCTGACTGTCTCTAATTAGGCTATGCTTTTCCAAATATACATAAATCCTATCCTAAGAATATTGACGTAATTTTCCCTCCCCCAATTTAGTACCTTCTCACAAGGTCCTGACTTTTCCTTGTTCATAGCTATCTTAATACTTAAGGAGTTGTGATCACTGTTTCCAAAATGCTCTCCCACTGAAAGATCAGTTACCTGGCCAGGCTCATCAGCCAATACAAGGTCCAGTACGGCCCCTCCTCCAGTTGGGCTATCCACATACTGTTTCAAGAAACCCTCTTGGATGCACTTAACAAATTCTACCCCCTCTAAGCCTCTTGCTCTAAGGGAGTCCCAGTCAATCCTGGGAACATTAAAGTCATTCCCAACTATGACAACTCTGTTTTTATTGCACCGTTCCATAATCTGCCTACATATTTGTTCCTCAGACTCTCAGTGGCTGTTGGGGTCTATAGTATAATCAGAGTGATTGCATGCATTTTATTTTTGAGCTCTAGCCATGTTGCCTCAGTGGACGAGCTCTCCAGCATGTCCTCTCCGAGTGCAGATGTGACATTCTCCCTGATTAGGAATGTGACTCCTCCATCCCTTTTACCTTCCTCTCCATCTCATCTAAAACAACAAAACCCTGGAATGTTGTGCAGCCAGCCCTGTCTTTCTCTCAACTAAGTCTCTGTAATGGCCACAACATTATACTCCAACATACTGATCCAGGCTCCATTAGTGTTCATTTATCTGTCTCTGCCTGTCCTTTCTTTCTGATTTACTCCTCTAAGCATCTACCTTGCCCTCAATCCCTCTACTTGCTGATCTGCTGCCCAGGTTCCCAGTCCCCTGCCACACTAGTTTAAAACCTAAGTAGCACTAGTGAAACTTCCTGCAAAGATATTGGTTCCCCTCCAGTTTAGGTGCAACCTGTCCCTCTTGTCCAGGTCATCTCCACTCCAGAAGAGGTCCCAATGATCCAAGAACCTGAAACCCTGACCCCTGCAGCAGCTCCTTAGCTACGCATTCATTTGTCCTATCTTTCTATTCCTTGCCTCATTAGCACATAGCACTGGTTGTGATCCAGAGATTACTACCCTCGAGGTACTGCTCTTCAGCCTCTTTCCTAATTCCGTGTACTCACTCCACAGGATCTCATCCCTCTTTGTACCTATGTCATTGGTACCAATGTGCACAAAGACCTCTGGCTGCTACGCTCCCGCTTAAGAATTTCATGCAACCACTCAGGGACACCCTTGACCCTGGCACTAGGGATGCAACACACCATCCTGGAGTCTCAAATGTGGCCACAGAAATGCCTGTCTGTACCCCTAACCAGCGCGTCTCCGACCACTATTGTTCAAATGGATCCTGCTCTACATCAGAGGCAGTTGTGGTGCTGTTACGTTTGTGATGTTACTTACATACAATGCACACACCCCAAAAATATCTGTTCAACATTTCTGTCAATTCCTTAATATCTAATATTCATTCCCAAACTCATTCAGTGGAAGAATAATATGTTTCATTTTAGAACCTCTATTTTCATATTTCTGGCGAGTTTATCTCATACTCCCACTTCATACTTCTTAAAAACTCTATACTATTGTTAAATTCTTTGTCAGCTTCACACAATTTTGATTTTTTTTTCTTTCAATTTTATGCTCTCTTTAATGTTCTTAGTTATCCACAGATGTGCAGCTTTCTAGAATCCTTCTTTCACACTGGAAAGTAACTTTGCAGAATGTACTGAAATATCTTCTTAAACGTCTGACACTGTCTCATCCAATCACCCAAAAATTTCATTGCTCAGGTCGGTTTAGGCATCTACATCTTCAGAGCCTTGTCTTTGCCATTATTCGACTTCCAACGTCTAGAGTTAGGCAGACTCTACTCTCCCTAAAAATGAATGGGAAATTCAATCTTGTAGTGATGACTGTTATCAAGAAGCTGCTTTATTATGAAGACGTTAAATCAGGTCAGTCTTGGACACGATTAACAGAAAAATCCAATCACTGTATTTACTTGTGAACTTATTGCACCTCAGTGGGGTGGGACAACTGAGTGAATTCCTTCCCACATTTAGAACAGGTTATTGGTGCTATGTGAATATGCTGATGTCAGTATAGTGGCTAACAGAGCGAGTCCCCCACACACTCGGGACAGGTTGACGGTGGGGAGTGAACATACTGATGAGTCAGCAGAGTGGCTAACAGAGTGAATTCTTTTCCACACTCGGGGCAGGTGAATGGCCCCTTCCCAGTTTGAACTTCCTGGTCTGATAGCAGCTTGGATGAATGAGTAAACTCCTTACCACACTTGGAACATATAAATAGTCTCTCCCCAGCGTGAACTCGCTGGTGACTCAGCAGGGAGAATAACTCAGTGAATCCCTTCCCACATTCAGGGCAGGTCAATTGTTTCGGCTGAGTGTGAATTTTCTGGTGTTTCAGCAATCTGGATGACCGAGTGAACTCTTTCCCACACTTGGAGCAGGTGAATCTTTCCCCAGTGTGAGTTCGCTGGTGTGCAGCGAGATGGGACAATCGCCTGAAACGACTCCCACAGTGAGAACACCTGAATGGTCTCTCGTCAGTGTGAACCTGCTGGTGTCTCAGCAGGTTAGATGACAGGGTGAATCTCTTCTGACAGACACAGCAAAGGTATGGCTTCTCTCCAGTGTGAGTACGTCGGTGGGTTTCCAGCTGAGATGGATACCTGAATCCTGCCTTGCAGTCCACACATTTCCATGGTTTGTCCCCAGTGAGCTTATCAACATTGCTTTCTCCTTCCATACTCAGAATCTTATCAGGCTATGATAAATTCAGCAACTTTGTCAGACCCTGATGTGATGTTTGGGTTGTAAATCCTCCACCTCGGATTTCCTGTGAAATTGAATTAAAGTGTAAAAAAGGAACTGAGAGAGAACTCGCGAGAACACAGAGGCAGGTTGTAAAATTGACTACATGACTTGTGGTTACTTGTGGGGCCAGCACATTGAACTTTCCTAAAACCTTCAGGTCATCCAAAACTTGGCTGCCCATGGACTAACACCAAGTTTACGAACCACCCTGTGCATACTGATCGACAAAGGGGATTAATAAGCACCCAAATTTTAAAATACTCATCCTTGCTTTCCGTCATAATCCTATCTCTGTAATCTCTGCACAACTCTCCAATATCTCTGTACTCATCTAATTCAGGTCATTTCAGCATTCCCTGGTGGCTTTTCTTTCAGTTGCCGAGGTGGAAAGCTCTGGAATTTCCTTCCTAAACCTCTTCACCGCTAACTCATTTTTCTAACTGAGGATATTTATTAATGTTATCTCTTTGACCAAGCTTTTAGTCACTTGCCCTTACATGTCCTAATGTGACTCAGTATTAAGTTCTACTATATAACATTTGTGTAAAATTCCTTGGATTGTGTTATTATTCGAAAAATGCTGTAAAAGAATAAATTGTTGTTGCTGCCTTAGACATATAGCAATGATTCTTCATTATCACTGAGAAAATAACTTTTAAGTCCTTAACACACAGTATTGTGGGAGCATCTTAACCACACAGACTGCAAAAGTTGAATAAAGTCAAACATCAACTTCTCCAAAGCTAACTGGGAATTGGAAATATTTTCTCTCTTGCTTGTGATCCACAATTGTCAAGAAAAAAATTTAAAGATATATCTATGTAAAATAGATAAAAAGCATTTACAAGAAATATTTGGCTGGATCAAGGCAGATAAAGGAAAGCTCTTTGCACTCACTGATCATGAGAAAATTACAAAACAGAGATTTATGGTTTTGGGTAAGACCCACAGAGAGGATGTGAAGAAGAAATTTTATGCAATGAGTGCTAATGACTTTGAACTCAATGCTTACGTTCAGAAGCTGATAAGACTCAGGTTGAGTGATCCTGGTTGCATTTGATGTGATGCCTGGTTGAAATTTCCCGACTGCCAATCCTCTGAATATTCTGTGGAAGTAATTCAGAAAATTACCACTGTCAGTACAGGATAAGAATTGTGAACAGACAGACACTTGAATCATAGAATCCCTACAGTGCAGATAGAGGCCATATGGCCCAGTGAGTCTGAACCAGCCCTCCGAAGAGCATACCCACCCAGTCCCCATAACCCTGCATTTACTATGACAAAGCCACCTAACCTACACACCGCCAGACAATACGGGGCAATTCGGCATGGCCAATCCACCTAACCTGCACATCTTTGGCCTGTCGGAGGAAGCCAGAGCACCCAGAGGTAACTGATGCAGACGTGGACAGGACAGAATATGCAAATTCCGCACAGACCGTCACCCAAGGTTGGAATCCAACCCAGGTCCCTGGTGCTGTGAGGCAGCACTTCTCTTGGTTTAGGTTGCTGTGTGCAAATCGTCCCAATCTCACCCCTGTAAAAGGGATATTCCAAAATGTATTCAGGTTGAAAATCACAACAATCCTTCCTCTTGATGCAGGATGATTGCCCCATGTCTCCCCAGCTGTATATTTCCTCTCTGTGGCTGGCAGCCCCTCAATTCCAGGAATGACATCTACTCAGGGTTGTGAATTTCTGTGGAGGACCTTCATGCAACTCAATAAAGCCAGACACATGGGGCAGGACGTCCCACGAGGTGGTGGGAGAGCAGAATTTGCTTCCTTTTCCTTCCTTTTGTGCAGCCCCTCTGCCTTATCAATAAGACATTGAGTGCAAAGGGCTAATGCAGCTTGATGGACAAGTTGTCTCCATTGTGACTAATGGGCAGCAAGCTCCGCCCAATGTTGCCCCCGGAGGAGGAGGGGGGCGCACATGCGCCCTACTGTCCAGTTTCTCCCCAGTAAAGAAGGCAGACTGCAGCGCGGAGTGTAAAGTTCGGAGCTTGGGACCCCGTTCCCTGTAAACGGCGGGACTGGAAGTGACTTTTTCGGATTTATCGTTTGCAGAACACATTTACGAAGCCTCTCCACCCATCCCCGGGAACCATCGCTCCCTCCGCACCGTCTCAATCTCACCCTTTGTAGAGCCGAGGGAACTACAACCTTCACTCTGATGACCGCGTTCCGCGCATGCTCTATACACTTGGACGATACAACGCCTGCGCCTCACTTTGTTTTGTGACTAGGCTATATTCTCTACCGCGCGGAATGCTGGGTCAACGGCCCGCCATTGAATATTCCAATCTAGGTCACGCCAATTTTTGAATTTTAAACTTCTTAAGTTAATTTAAAGTTTCCAAACTTCTCAATTTTAAATGGTCTAGGTACCAAGTAAAATTTTCATACGTATAGTTTACAGTGGTAACCATTTGGTGCGGACTGATGCAATAATACACAAAACGTCTTTTTATGTGTTAAGGATCATGGATTAGAGTCATTGATTGATATAGCACGGAAATTACACATTTATATAAATAATTTGGATGTGAATATAGGAGGAAAGGTCAATAAGTTTGCAGATGACACCAAATTTGGTAGTGTAGTGGACAGAGAAGAAGGCTATCTCACAGTACAGAGATAGTAGGAACTGCAGATGCTGGAGAATCTGAGATAACAAGGTGCAGAGATGGATGAACACAGCAGGCCAAGCAGCATCAGAGGAGCAGGAAAGCTGACGTTTCGGGCCTAGACCCTTCTTCAGAATATTTTCTGACGAAGGGCCCAGACCCGAAACGTCAGCTTTCCTGCTCCTCTGATACTGC